GGGACTCAGTATCGGCCCCCCCACCGCTAATCGTGCCACGCCACTCTGAGGGGTGGTCAAGCTTTCGCCGCTTAGCGATCTCAGAACGACTGCAGATGACAGCGTCCTCGGGGATCGTGAGACCGTAGGCCACAGCCGGGGTAGGCGCCGTTTCGGAGGCCGGGTTTCTCTCCAGGCGACGTCGCGCCTCTGCAACAGCGAGCATGTCGTTTTGCCGCTTCGTCTCGGGCGATTCTCCCTCTACACCGGCCCTTTGCTTGACGAACTCTTTAATGTGGTGATGGTTGAGCCCGACAAGTTGAGGCTCGAAAACGACGCGCTCAAATGTCACCCAGCTACCACCGGGGCCAGGAGGCACTGGATACTTCTTGGTGTCAACGGGCTGGCGCTTGCGGTTGACGTCGGCAATTCGTGTTCGCAACCTTTCTCGCACGTCAATGAAACCGACGACAGCGTGCTTCTCAGCCTCGTCAGGATGCTGAGAGTCGCGCCAGTATCCAAGAATGACAGTCTTGGAATCAGCACCCGCAGGGCGACGGATCGGCTTTGCGCGGGAGATGGGCGTGTCGTCTGTGGGTGGGCTTCCTTCCTCTTCGTCATCCGCAGGAACGTTTGACGCTGTCAGCTGTCTCTTGCGCGTGGGATAAGGGGACGTTTGCGGTCGATAGGGCAGATCCTCATCGGCGTCGCCCATGGTTTCGTCCTCTTGGTCGGAAACCACACGGAAAGGCGAAGACTTGTCGGCACCATTACGATTAGAGCTCACCACGATTTCGTCGCCTGAGGCTGGGTCGTCATGAGTTGGACTGGGAATGTGGTCAGGCGGCGGAGTGAGGTCGTCATCGTCTTCCAGTTGGGCATTGTTGACAGGGGTTCTGGAAGCAGACTCGATGAGCAAGGCTTTCAGAGCGGTCTGGGGCAGGCCTGTCTTGACTGACTCGGCAGGCTTCGTTTCATCGGGAACTTGGCTGTCTAATAAAGGGGCAGAAGCCTCGTTCTTAACCTCAGAGGTGGTGGATTCCATTTCAGAGGATTTCAGATTGAATTGCGGCCAGATGACTGACGAAAGCGTTAGCATCGTGTCTGCCTAGAAGAAAAGAAAGGGGGAAAAAAACTGGGTGATGAGGGTCATGATGAGAATAGATTGAAGAGACGCATGGTGGCATGGAAAATGGTGGCATGCTATAGAGGAGGGGTCATATGGGTGGGCGATGAAAGCAATACGAGCGTGAGGGCCGACGCCGTTCAACATTTGGAGGGAAGGTATCCATCAGGGGCCAAGGAACAGAAGCGAGGCAGCAACAATTGCATTATGAGTGAACCATGACATGCTAAGACAAGAAAGTAAAAAGGTAACTTACCAGCACAGGGTGGCGGCGGCGCAGTCACGAGTCACCGACTGCAGATGAGAAAGTGTTCCGAAGAACGAAGTATAGTATCGGTCGCAAACAGGGCAGAGGAATAAGATGACCAGAGCTACGACTCAATAGAGTTCAGCGTGTGACCCTGCAAAGCGAAAGAAGAAGAGACGAGGCTCGGGTGCCGGGTGAACCGAGACGTGACTTCTGTCAAGACACCCCAGTTCGTACTCGGTTCTAGGACGGGAAGCGGAAATGTTGTCTGTACGACACGTAGTCTGTGATGGGGGTTAAAAAAAAACAGAAAAAGAAAAGTCGGATGACGAAGAGTGAAAGGCAAGATGCAAAGAGTTGCGCCTCGATGGGGAGGCTGGTGTACTCAGATGGACAGAGTGTTCACACAAACACAGCGTTCTGGTGATGGTAGTAGATGGATGTGACGCGGCTGTTGCGTTGGGGGGGTGGCTGGGTGGTAGGTGGTTGTAAGTGTGAAGGGTGTTGTGTGGGTTGTAGGGCGTCGATGATGTAAGCGATTGAAGGGGAGCGGCGCCTCAGGCTTCCCTTTCAGTGAAGTGGAGAGAGATTATGGTCTCGAGGTGTCTTATTATGTTGTTGGTGTTCCAAATTACGTGAATTGGGAAGGGGGGATGTGGTCGGCTTATGTCGTCCAATGAGGGTTAGCGTGGGTAATGCCTTTCCTTAGAGCTGAATGTTGTTTCCCAGTTGAGGTGGGACTTTGAGTCGAAGCAGGCACGTCGTGGCTTGGGCGGGAAGGTTCCGATCGAGGAAAGAGAGATGGGGCGGGTCTGTGTGTGTGTGTGTGTGTGTGTTTGTTCCCTTAAGTTCCAGTGGACCAGCTGGTCTGCTTGTGTGGATGTGGGTGTGCGTGTGCGTGCGAGAGCGCGTATGTGTGCATCTGTCGTATGGAGGGAAAAGAGAGGGAAAAGGCAAGTCAAGGGGAAAGAAAGGGAGAAAGGGTGGGGGGTTGCGGTATTAGTGTGTGACAAGGAGTGAGACGAAGCTCGCGGACTCAGTCATCATCAGTCAGTCTAGGTAATGACAATGTGATCACTGACCAAACCCGGCGCGGAACTTTCACTTAGAGAACCTAGGCACTCGGCAGGACCCTAGAAAGTCCTGAAGACACGAAGACCAAGCGAAATCTAGATAGTGTGCCCCGACCGATAACCTGGGACAATTGGAGTGGAGGT